GCACTGTGGCTACTCTCCCTAGGCATGGTCGTCCTGTAAAAATGACTGCAAGAGCACAGCGCAGAATGCTGCATGAGGTAAAGAAGAATCCCAGAGTGTCAGCTAAAGACCTACAGAAATCTCTGGCACATGCTAACATTTTGTTGACACATCTACAATAAGGAAAACATTAAACAAGAATGGAGTACATGGGAGGACACCACGGAGGAAGCCAATGCTGTCCAAAAAGAATATTGCAGCACGTTTGAAGTTTGCAAAAGAGCACCTGGATGTTCTACAGCACTACTGGCAAAATATACTGTGAACAGATGAAACCAAGATTGAGTTGTTTGGGAAGAACACACAACACTATGTGTGGAGAAAAAAAGGCACAGCACACCAACATCAAAACCTCATCCCCACTGTAAAACTTATCGGAGGGAGCATCATGGTTTGGGGCTGCTTTGCTGCCTCAGGGCCTGGACGGATTGTTGTCATTGATGGGAAAATGAATTCCAGAGTTTATCAAGACATTTTGCAGGAAAACGTACGACCATCTGTCCGCCAACTGAAGCTCCGCAGAGGATGGGTGATGCAACAGGACAATGACCCAAAGCATACAAGTAATTCAACAAAACAATGGCTGCAACAGCACAGAATACGCCTTCTGGAGTGGCCCAGTCAGAGTCCTGACCTCAACCCGATTGAAATGCTGTGGCATGACCTTAAGAGAGCAAATCACACCAGATATCCTAAGAATATTGCTACACTGAAACAGTTTTGTGAAGAGGAGTGGTCCAAAATTACTCCAGGTCGTTGTGCAGGAAAGATCTGCAACTACAGGAAATGTTCGGTTGAGGTTATTGCTGCCAAAGGAGGGTCAACCAGTTATTAAGTCCAAAGGTTCACATACTTTTTCCTCCCTGCACTGTGAATGTTTACATGTTATGTGCAATTAAACCATGGCAACATCTAATGTTTGTGTAGTATTATGTTCAGCAGACTGTGTTCTTCTATTGTTGTGACTTAGATGACGTTCAGAGCACATTTTATGCCCAACTCATGCAAAACTCCACGTAATCCCAAGGGGTTCACATACTTTTTCTTGCAACTGTAGATACCTGCACTGCTACAGTTCTCAGTTATCAATATCATAAACATCCATTAGGTTTTCAGGTTTTTCCATGTGCAATCCAATGTCTGTTAGGCAAAACACTATTTTGTTCAAAGGCAACATATTCAGAGGACTTTTGAATATGTGTGTGTGTTTTTATATATATATATGTCTCCCGATCAGCCATAACATTATGACCACCCACCATAAGCAACCATAAGCCGTTGAGGCATGGACTCGATTAGACCTCTGGAGGTATGCTGTGGAATTTAGCACCAAAGCATCAGTTGCAGATCTTTAAATTCTGTAAGTTGTGACCTGGATGCAGCTCATTTTTCCAGCACATCCCACAGATGCATGTTTGGATTGCAATCTGGAGAATTTGGAGGTTGAGTTAGCACTTCTAACTCATTGTTGTCTTCCTCAAACCATTCTTGAATTCATCAGACCAGGCCACTTTGTACCATTGCTCCGTTTTCCAATTCTTATGCTCAAGCGAACATTGCATACTCGTTTTACTGTGGACGCAGGTCAGTATGGGCACCCTGAAAAGTCTGCAACTATGCAGCCCCATACGCAACATACTGCGATGCATGTAGATTGTATCAGACCAGCATTCATTTTTATCAGCCATTTGAGGTACAGTACCTCTTCAATTGGATCAGACTATACAGGCCAGTATTTGCTCTTCATGTGCATCAGTGAGCCCGTTGCCAGTACACTGGTTTTCCTTCCTTGGACCACTTTTGGTCAGTCCTGACCACAGCATACCAGGAACATCACACAAGAACTGCAGATTTGGAGCTATCCAGTTGTCTAGCTATTACAATTTGACCCTTGTCAAAGTCACTCACCTACTTACATAGGCATGTGTTTTCTGCTTTCAGCACATCAGCTTCAGAGACAACATGTTCACTTGCTGCCTCATATATTCTGTCCACATTCAGATGCCATTGTAACAAGACAATCAATGTTATTCACTTTACCTGTCAATGGTCATAATGTTATGGCTGATTTACAGTACCTTGAAAAAGTATTCATACCTCTTGACATTTTCCACATTTTGTCATGTTACAACAAAAAACGTAAATCTATTTTATTGGGATTTTATGTGATAGACCAACACAAAGTGGCACATAATTGTGAAGTGGAAGGAAAATGATAAATGGTTTTCAAAATTTTTTACAAATTAATATTTGAAAAGTGTTGAGAGCATTTGTATTCAGCCCCCCTGAGTCAATACTTTGTAGAACCACCTTTCACTTCAATTACAGCTGCAAGTCTTTTTGGGTATGTCTCTACCAGCTTTGCACATCTAGAGAGGGGCATTTTTGCCCATTCTTCTTTCCAAAACAGCTCAAGTTCTGTCAGAATGGATGGAGAGCGGTTGTGAACAACAATTTTCAAGTCTTGTCACACATTGGATTCAGATCTGGACTTTGACTGGGCCATTCTACAACGTGAATATGCTTTGATCTAAACCATTCAAGGGTTCAAGGGGTACAAATACTTTTTCAAGGTGTGTGTGTGTGTATACATATATCTATATATATATACATATATATATATATATATATATATATATCAGGGGTGGACTGACAACTCATTGGGCCCCCGGGCAATCGGGGATCATGGGGCTCCTGTGTCCTTGCCCAAACGCAAAAAAGCCTATGAAAAAGGTACCAGGGGCATCTCATGGGACCCCTTACTGACCCCGGGCCCTCGTGCAGTGCCCGAGTTTCCAAATGGTCAGTCCGCCCCTGGTATGTATATATAATCAAAAGTTTGTGGACACCTGACAATCTCACTATATGGCAAAAATTATCTGACACCCACTCCTACAGTAATTATTGAGTGCAGGTGTTTCCAGTGAAGGTTCTTGTTAATGTTACAACATAAAAAGAAATATTAAACAACTGTTTGCATCCAATATTGTGATGACAGGTTTAGGAAGTGACTGTGCCCAAAAGTCAAGTCCAAAATGGTATGGTTTGATGAGCTTGTGGAGGAACCTGAGTTGCCTTCACAGAGCCTTGACCTCAACCCTATTGAAAATCTTTCAGATATATTCAAATACCTATTGCATGCCAGACCTTCTCGTTCAGCATCAGTACTAGCCCTTACAAATGCTCTTTTTACTAAATTTCCACAGACGCACTTTTCAGTGGAACCTGTTATAGCCCCAAAGTGTTGTTCAGTTGTGTATCAATGGTCATGGTTTTGGAATGGCATATTTAACAAACTCGTTTATTGTAGGTGTTATGGTCAATTGTCCACAAACTTTTGATCATAAAATGTATATACTGCATATATGTAGACATATACTGTGTGATTGATTAACTGCTTAACGAAAAACCACATTAATATGGATTCTGTACAATTCACTCATTATGTTAAGGAGGTTGCTAAAAATTACAAAAAAAATATAGAAGACTTTGTGTAACACTTAGGAAAGGAAATATTATTCTGTTTTAAATTCATTAGGTTGTTTTCATTTTTCAAACCTACACTTAAAAATAACAGCTCACATTTATTTTTTTTGGGTTCCATTAACCTTTTTCTTGATTATACACATGGGAATTTCTGTGTTATAAATTCAGAGGATGCAATCACCAATATGGCCTTCCTGTGATAGCACAATCAGGAAAGCATTCACAGTCCCTATAGAGACCAGTACTAGGCAATTATGTTATTGTGCTCATTGCCATTACAGTATAATGTATAATACTCATCCTTACTAACATGGTTAACTAGAGGGTACATACTAATTCACAGCTAAAGCATAAAAATTTTCCTTGGCTCTCATGGTCCTGAATTTTTAAAGGGCAAGTGCACTCCCCCTCATCCACCAAAAGCTACCCCTTAGCAAAAATGAAATGGCAATGCAGTCCACACGTATTAGCCTCACACACTTAACACTGCAACAACTTACCCCTTGGCACTGTTTACTGCTTCTCCTGGAACAAGCTTTGTAAGGTATTGTGCACGGCAAACAATGCTACTATTTGAGATTAATGAAATACCCGTCTCATGCAGAATATGTATAGACCATAGCAGTAAGAAACATGGGAAGCTGCTATGTTGGGTCTGTATAACATTTCATTTCTCCTCTGGGGGACAATGAGGGTCCTTTTTAAGAGTACACTTTTGAAAGTGCACTTATTTTTGTTAATAGACATAGACTATGATTGACAATAAAATTTAATTACTTATCCAACAGCGATTTAATGGTAGGCATAGCGATTCAGGTAGATAGAGCTGGCACATGACCTAACTCATTGCAGAGCTTGCAATGAGATATACTGTGCACATTTATCATAGGTAGCTATAATAGGCAGCTGTATAAAGTAATAACATATGCATGCATTTAGGCAGGCACTCTTGAGTATAATAAAATGCTAGTGTCTGTCTGTTGTAAATGACCCTGAGAACTTTTTTTATCTTAAATACTTCTACAATATTTCATACAAATTTAAGCAATATAAAAATATAATTTTTTTTTCTTGAATATTTGCCAATTTCATTTCATTGTGTAGATATATGGCAGTCTGCAGTGATATATAAAATTATTGTAAAGTAACATACCAATATATGACACAGTTTTTGTCAAATATTTTTAGTTTGTGTTGTATTATATAACCAAACATAATGGATAATAGGTGTATTGTATGCATACTGGTGACATAACTATACAGTCACATTTTCTGTAAAGGTAAGGAAATTGCATGATCATACCTAAACATAATACTTAATTTAAAAAAATAAATTAGAATTCTACATTTTGAGCTATGGTCAACACCAATGCATATCCCCAATATGAGCACAAGATATCCATTTCAGCACTGGTTGCAATAGAAAAGGTCCACTTAGGTGGAAAAGACACCATTAAAAAGATATCATTTTGAAGCTAAGCAAAATCTTTAGACACTGCTTCTACAAAATTGGGAGCTGACATTAATATGCCAATAGTACAAATGATGGTAAAGACAGAAAAGGCCATCAAACACAACCGGTCCACCACAGAGGCAGCAAACTTCCATTCATTACATATGATTTCATCCTCATCCTGGTCTCTGAACCTATTGGCAATAAAACGCAGTTCTTCCAAAATCTTGGCTAAGTCATGGTCACCTTCAGAGTGACGTGTGTGGTGGATTAGATTTTCATCATGGGTTGGTGAACAGGCCATTCTGCCACATATTACTCCAGAATCTGTAGTAGGTGTACAATGGATTCCTTCTAAGCCTCGAAAGCCAATATAAAGCATGTTCCCATTGCTGGACTGCTGACCACTAACAGTATTCACTTCCACACTGCTCATGCTGCAACGTCGCTGTTGTTGTTGCTGCTGTTGCTGCTTATTAATGTGTTGGCAAACAGGTCTGACCTTGTCTTCTCCAGGTCTTTTCATTCTCAGGAACCACGCACACCAGTTTAGAAGAATGATTCTTGTCTAAGAGAAAAGCAAGATAAATAATATCACAGTTCCATATATTTTCTATTTCAAAATTTAAACCAAAATACAGATTGCTTTATTGCTTTAATAATAAAGCCGGTGGTACAAAACAAAAATCAGGGCGGTTATAAAAAATGTGAGAATGAAGCCCAACAAAGCTCTCAATTAAATTAGCTAAATACATCCCAGGTGCAACAAAATAAAAAGTCTGCAAAGTCTAACAGTTTATTTCCTTTAAAATTCAGTCACAGCCTAAGTAGTCTCTTTTTTTCCCTTTTTCCCTTTCCTTTTTGTGCTATTTAACACTGTTTGTAAACACAGTAGACCCACAAGAGTGAACACCAAAGGTGTGGTGTGGTGCAAGTCTGTTTTATATTTTCATACAGCCTGAGTAGTAAAGTCTGTCTTCTTCAAGCATGCTGCAGAGTGGAACCCTCTGTGGAGAAGCGGTGATTTTTTGAAGAGGTTCCACATGTCTCCTAAGTTAGAGCCTGAGCTCGCCAATCAGTGGGGAGCATGAGCTTTGTTGATTGCAGAGCTATTGGTCTGACTTATTGGGAAGCATGTCCCTGCAATAAGACCCTACGTCCACACAGAGAGCAAGTGTCCTACTCTGCAGCTGCTGGAAGGGGACAGGCCTTTCTACCCAAACTGTGGCTGCTTTAGACAACAAAGACAATAAACTCCTTTGTTCCCATGTGCCTGGAATGTTTTTAACTGATTTAAACTGAGAGCTCAACTGGACTCTAATATTATCTTTCATTTTTGTTTCTAATAACTTGAGAGAACTATCTCCTGCATCAATCGCCTTCTTTATTAGTGGCAATAATGTAATATTTTACCTGCAATGTCACAACCTTTTCATTAACCAAAGCTTATTTAACAGTCTGAAAGAGGGGCCTGTTTTGGGGAAAAAAATATAAAATTCAATAAATGTTGCTAATGTGCCTACTTAAAGTTGTCAACACATTTTGGCAATACTATTCTCAGTGTGTAGATGAGAAATACCATATATTTGGGCTTGAATGCTCTTAGAAATTGTACATGCCCTGTGCTGTGCATCACCCATGTTTTTTAGCATCAGCAGGTTCTTTGGTAATGTGGATCATGGGCAAAAATAACTCACCCCATTTAAAACACCAGTCATAGACTCATGATCACCAGACTGTTATACTTAAAGTATGTTATTTTATTTAGTAATAAGGTACAATTATCTTTTTGGTTATGAGGGAAATAATGCCGAAAGAAATAATAATTCATAAAAATGGCTATCCAGTTTTGAAGGCTTGTGTGTTGGTTGGCTGATCACATGGAAGGAACTAAAATCACATGCTTCACCTATGCTATGCTCTACAATGGGGGTCCAATGGAAAAAGGTAACAGCTCTTCAAGAGTATGTTTTCGAAACTAGAAGGTTTGATGGCAACTTCATGTCTCATGCAGTCTAGCTATGCAATCTATGGCCATAATAAAATTTCAGTATGCACATAGTAATGCCATAGACAAATGCATTTGTGTATAAATGAGAAAACCAAAGAGTTTTAGATTTAAAGAGGCTTTCAACCAAAACTGTGTCATGGTCTAGCCTGCAGATTTCTGTTTGTGAAATTCTTACCTCCTTGCTGGAGTGGTTCTGCTAGATCTGTGATTCTTTTCACATGTGCTGCTGGCTTCCCTGTTCAACTATGGGCATTGCCTGGCTCTACTGTGGATATATATCCTTTTCCCTTCTATCATTTCCTGGGTCGCCTCCCAGCCTGCTTTCCTATCTAAGACATGCTCAGTGCAGCCCGGGTTGTCTGAGCAACTTCCCAATTCTCTGAGCTCTCGTTTGCTCACTATTTGTGTATTAACTGACTGACTTCTCATGTGCCAACCACAGCTTCATCTACTGTCTGTGCTTGCCGTGACCTTGGCTTGTTTCCTGGATTTCCTTCTGTATCCTCTCATTTGTACTCTACACAGGTGAGTGGTCTCCACATCCTCAACTGGGCATACCTGGGGGCCGTGACCTATTTCCAGCTGGCTGCAAGTCCATCCCCACCAGCATGGGCTCTGATGAAGTAGAAGGCTGGGGTTTCGACTCCGCACCCTGGGGAGCCCTAAATTGGCAATCTACAGGGGCTCACTATCCCAGCCACCTGACAAACTGACAATTCAGTTTTTGTTAAATTCTGGAGAGCTAAGCAAGCTGACAAAATTTCTTATATCTCCAGGAAACTCTATTTATGATATGTCCTTTAGTTCATGAGCCTTCATAGCTGCTGTGGCCATTATGAGAACATCCTATTCTTTCTGTTAGAATTTATATTTTTTACATCATAGAGAATGTAACATGAGAATCTGGATGATACAAAGGTGAGCAGAAACACAAAAGACATCACAGGGGACAGGATCAGGGTCATAAATTACAGAAGGTGGACTTTACTACTGGAGTATCTAAGTCATATAAGGAACCAGAGGCTCACCCAACCCACCAGATTTCACCTGTATCTAAAATATTGCTTTGGGTAGATAAGTCCTTAAATTACCAATTATTGTAAAATAATCAGTAAAGAGCAACAATTAATCAGGCCATAAGAGTGAGGACAAACATTTTTCTGTGTATTTTCACTTACATCTAATTATTGATTAGGTATTGTTATACAGCATCTATAAAGACCTCTAAATATCAAATACACTTATGTAAGCTTATTTCATAAGACAAAGTGCCATATGAAAGGTACAGTAACCCACATTGTGAGCAATCATCTTTCACTGAGCTGACTTCAATAAACAAATATATGGTTGGATGCTATGGTTTACTGCACAGATTATTCAACTAGTTTATTGAGTTTGCCTGAAAGGCTGAATCTGAAGCAGCTGCAGTTTATTTTACATATTTTTGTGAAGGTATTCACACATATAATGTAATGCTTCCAGCAAGAATTTCAAAGTTTGATTTTGCCTTCAGAACACAAGAAGAAATAGTCTTTGAGACTGTAAAAATATTTAATGAAGTTAAAGTCTGCTGCTAGAGGACTTCATCCATAGCCACATTACTAATGCCATTTACTCCTGAACTCACAAGTTCACTTTTTTACAATGAATTTATAGGATAGAGACAACCTGGATTGTATTTTAATGTCCCAAATGAGATTCAACATTTCTAGCAGCAGCTTTAAAGTGTAAAAAAATAAAAACATTGCCTTTTCTAATAGTTCAATAACATAGGGAGTCACTTATTCTCTGTATCTCTCTAACATATATAGAATAGACTAGGGAAATTGTGCAGATAAATTGGTAAGTAGCAAAGACTGACAATCATTAAAGCAGAACTCCAGGATTTTTTTTCCAAGGAGTGGGGCTGTACCCACACTGCATGGGATAACTGCTCCTTTTGTCCAGGAGCACCCTGAAAGGCTAAATTCACATGATCCTTCAATCTTCAGGAAAACAGTGCTCCCCCACGTTAAGCAGTGGACTGTTCCTGCTGTCTAGAGCCAGTGTATGGGTGTATGGGTGTGATGACGTCAGGATCAGCCCACTGCACAAGACAGCTAGACCACGAGGGGGGGAGTAGGACTAGGATGGATAAGGTAAGTATATCTCTACTCTCCTCACCCCAAGACAAAAGGAGCGGTTAACCCATGGAGTGCGGGCACAGCCCCACTGAATGGGAAAAAAAAACCTGGAATTCTTCTTCAAATGTATGAGTATACAACTAGATTTATAACACACTGATGATTACATATTTTTTGCATTAAAACAGATATGAATCCTACAAATTTACATTTGGCTCTGTTTTGCAGCATGCAACAAGGGAAACTCTGTTATCACATTTTTGTGTGCCAATGATTTGCATTTCTCTACAGTTAAAGCTATCCTAAATCCCAAATCTGTATACAGAAGAAGAGATACTGTTATGACAGATGTGGTAATCTCTCATAAGGCAAGCTCTCTGCATTTTCTAAGGCCTGTGGCATCACTAGACCTAAAAACCCAGAATACATTTAGGGAGCCAGAGTTGTTGACTTGGTGTGCACAGCACATTAATATGGTCTGAGAAGGGAAGCATTCCATAACCAAACAATTGTATAATTTGCTGTAAAATTCTTCTGCATCATGCACATAGTGTTGGAGTCCTAAAGATTCTGTTACCAAGGGCTTTTACCTAGCAGGTTACCTGCTCTCAAAGAAAACAAGGGGGAATAATTGATCTGGTCTCCATCCAGAACCAAACTGGTACTCAAGAGAATATTTGGCTGATAACAGCTGGAGTAACTCAATAACTCTTGTGAAAAATATTTAAAGTGGTGGTAAACCTCAGACATGCAATATGAATAAAGCATATTCATCTATAGTATGTACTTGTCTCAATCCAGAGCACTAAGTTTCCTTTCTGTCCGCTGCCTCCTTTCTCTACTATAAGCATGAGTGACTTCTGACACAAGTTTTTCTAACACCAAGAGAAACATGGTGACATGGGAGGGCATAGCCTGTGATTGACAGCCTCAACTCTGTTCCTGTGTACTGTGTGAAGGAGTGTGGGTGCTTTCCTCCAAACAGTTCTCAGAGCTCCCCTCACTGATGTAACTTCAGCCCCCCAACTGAGGCCAGTCACTTAACTGGGTTTACAACCACTTCAAAAAATAAAAAAAAACCTCTTAAATAACAGTGGACTGCTAAGAGTGAGTTGTGCAGAATGGATTGTAGGAGAAAATCACATGAATGAACAGTGGACCCAGTTGACCAGATTATCTACATACCACTGAACAGCAGTCACTCACTGGGTTTAGTGTTGAAGTCTCTAGCCAAAAATCAATGTATAGAGAAAATTAGCTATAACTAAAAGGGTGAAATACAGTAAAAGATGGCCTTCACTGTACCATTTTTGAATGGTTTCTATAATTTTAGGAGAGTGGAGAAGTCATCCGTAATGTTGGAAAGGTAAAGCCACCAGTGAGCCCCAGCACCCAGATATGTGGACAGGTTTGCCTAATATAACATTTATTTTAGAAATAAGGTTATTACTAGGCATACTTATGTTTAATTGTTAAATTAGATTTCAAATTACATTTGTGTCCCAAAATTCTGCCTCACATATTATAGAAACGATACACCGAAACAAAATCGTCTATAGATGATCCCACAGGTTGCAGGAAAGAAAATTGCTTGATTCCCCCATTAACACTGTCAGTGTTGATGGGGGAATCCCTCCAACAGAGCTATTGTGTTCTCCCAATGGGTAGGGGGGCCATCTTCACCAGGAGAACACAATGATTTTTGCTAGCAGCTATGGCTGCTAGCAACAATATTATGAAAAATCTGACAGGCTGGTTGCACCCAAGTCGTACAACAATCAATTTGGGTACAATCAGCTTGCCCATAGATGGTTTGAATCTTGGCCGCTCCCTGCTGAACCATCTGAAAATCGAACCATTTATGGACAGCTTTAGTATGAGCCTTTTGTCCAGAACTCTGATAATGAGAACTGCAAACAGATATCAATGTAGCCTGAACCACTTACCCACTGTGTACTTATTTATATATTGTAAAACTGAAACAGTTTGTAGGTCACAAATGTATATGTACGTAAATACCTTTACACATGAGGAGAAAATTAGAAAGGTGAAATTATTCTACACAAGATGAAATTATACTGTGCTTGCTGCTTTTTATTCAGGTTTGTAAGCAAGACATTTTAATTGCATTCTCAGCCACACGATTCTAAGGAGTTCTGCAGCCCAATACTAGATCTTACAATTACTATGCATGAGACAAATTCAATACACATCAGGAGGAAGAGTATTTCCCTCCAAGTTTAGAATACCAAATTAAATCACATTTTGTAATTTGCGTGTGCATTTTTAGCAGGTTGTTCAGCAAATGAATTTAAGTATTTAAAATAGACTTAATTTTAACTGGCCATACTGGGGATTCACCATAATACCCTTTTTTTAAGAACTTACCCATTTTGGCATTTTGCCTCCATGTGGGTCATGGTGATGATATTGCAGGACAATGACTGTTACGACCACTGAGAGACCCACAATGATCATCGTACTGGCAAAGTATTGGGCTGTAAAAGATATTGCAAAAGAAATGTTAAATTGTTAGCATAGAAAGAGATTATGCTTCTTATAATTATCAGCTGTAGTTTTGTACTATAGCTATTTGCATTACAATTTATATGCATGATAAGCGTAACAAAAATTGAGCAACTGTATCTCTGGAAAGTCTATCTTCTGGAGTCTGAGACAGTGGTTTAAGTGCCAAGCTGTGATAAAAGCAGCTTCTTGCTTATGAAGCACACCAGCCCAGTTAATATTCTTCATCACTTTCTGTCAAATCCACAGTACCAACAGGAACTGGAACCAACTGCTGAATATGTAAACACTGCAGAGAATTTTATTATGCTGTTAAAAGACTGCTGAGATTAAGCAGTCCACATGTCAAGCAATTACATAGATACTGTAACTAAAACCAACCCTACTGCCAAAATTGTAAAATTGCAAGTCTAGGCTTACAAAACTGTCAAGAGCATTGCAACATCTTACATGACAGGTAATATGGAAACGGTATAGTTGTGCAGATCCACTATCAGCAAGTCAAGTGAGAACTTAGTATGGCAGGGATGCAAACTGTGTCTAGTTTGCCCCTTAAAATGGAACTGTACTTACTTGCCTGTTTCAGACTCCAGTGACAACATTATTAAATCTGTTCCTTGTGACTCCATCTGCTGATGACACCATCTTCTCCTGAGACTCTCCTGAGTCTTCCAGGTCCCACATCATACCTTTGCTCCCCCACCACTCCATTTAGCCGCCAGACGATCAAAAGCCCTTCTCTCTTTTTCTGTATTTTTGGTCATGGTATGACTAACTCTCCTTCCTCTCATGTTTGGTCCTTGGATAATGGGTCAGTGCTGTCACATGGGGGTAGAAAAAGAATCTTCAGGCATGTGGGGTTGGAAAGATTGTCCCCAAGCCTATGTAGACTTCTACTAGAGTGGCTTAAAGCTTACACAGGGCTTTATAGCCTTGCTCCCAATTGGTGAACAGGGCATCAGGGGCCTGAACGAAAGGTATGTGTGGGACACTACAGGAAGCCAAAGGATTCCCAGAGCACTACGGGTTAGCTAAAGAGATAACACAGCAAATACAACTTGCATTGAGGTTCTATTATCCTGACTGAAACCTAAGACCAAGCAATACACATACATACAATTTTTTTCTTACTGTAAACATATACATAAACAAATATGTACACAATTATGTAGCTATTCCATGTATTTAGTCTTCAATATACACTAGCAAATGGCAGTTTTTCAGGCTGCAGAGAAATTTTAGAAACTCAGCAACAACATACAGGACTAACATTTTCAGTATTATATAAATTGCTCATTAACTGTGTAAAGCAATATATAAAGTTACAGCAATCTTACCTATTAATGGCACAGAGTCTGATGTGGCAGGCATTATTTCTGCTACCAGTAACATAAATACAGTAAGTGACAACAACACAGTTATACCTAAAATCAAAAAAATATATATGTCAAGTTATTGCAAAACCATAGTACTGTATTATGTATTTGCAGATTTTGAACAAGATATTATTCCACCCATTGCTGACTACAATATAATTTAGAAGTCTAAACCATGTGATTCTGAGAAAATCAAATGACAAAATTCACTGTACAAATGTTAACACAAAGAATACATATATTTCTACTCCAAGCAGTTGGCTTCTATAAAATACAATGGGGTTGATCTACTAAAGGCAAATATACTGTATATTGCAAGTGCGCTGTAAGTGCAGTTGCTCTAGTTCTTAATAAATAAGGCTCTGCTGATTTCTATCATCCAATCATGTTCAAGCAGAAACACTGTTTTTTTATTTTCCTTGCATGTGATTGGGTATTCTTTGCAAAGTCAAGCTTTACATCATTTACTAAGCTCTGGAACAACTGCACTTGCAATGCACAGTATATTTACCTTTAGTAAATCAACCCCCATTATATATTAAAGTATTGTTGTTGTTCTAATTACTCTTTAAATTGTTTTATTGTAAAATGCTACATCTGTTAGACATTCGTGTCATGTGGTAACAACAGATTTTAATATAAACTCTATTCAATGGGATAGAGATTTACAATGTCCTTTTGCTATGGCTTTTATGTCTTAGGGTAATATTTTTTAATTTCTTCTAAAAGTAAACCTGTGTCCAGGCTATGAACATTACATTATCTACATATTCTGAACAAGCCTTTTAAAATAATCTCTCACTCATCTCTTTAGCTATAGGCAATGTGGAGAAGTCCATCTTCAAAATTCACAACTGAGATATTAAAATCACTTCTTCTCACCCCCCTACTTTCTATACAAGCAGAATCTTGGCAGCTTGCCAGACTTCTAATGTAATTACACAGGAGATGTTTTTAACCACATGCCACCTAGCCACCGTAGAAAGACGTTGGCAGGGCAGCACGGCTGGGCAAAACCACGTTTTAAAACGTGTGTTTGCAAAACAGGTAGGGGGTGTGCGCGAGGTGCGCCACTGCCCTACCTGTCCCGCCGATCACAGCCGTGGATGTCAGTCGCCGGGTCACAGCCGGTTGTTACCAGCTGTGTCCCGCCGATTAGTGGCAATCACTGACAGAGAGCAGGGCTGCAGTAGCTCTGCTCTCTGTCAGTTCCCTGTCAGCTCCTGACATGCTGAGCAGGAGAGAAGAGTTTATCTCTCCCGATCAGCTGTCCCCGTGCAGTACACACTCCCGCCCCCTAGTAAAACACTCCCCTCACACAGTTAACCCTTTCAGTAAATAAAAAAGTTAACCCCTTCCTCTCCAGTGCCATTAGTACAGTGTCAGTGTTTTTTTTTTTGCATTGATCACTGTATTGGTGTCACTGGGGATGTCAGTGACACCAAGTCAGTTCCCCCCAAGTGTCAGAGTGTCCGCCGCAGTCCCGCAGTCCCGCCATAAGTCGCTGATTGCCTCCATAAGTCACTGATCGCCACCATAAGTCGCTGATCGCCGCCATTATTAGTATAAAAAAAAATTTAAAATCTCAGTATCTTTACCACCATTTGTAAACGCTATAACTTTCACGTAAACCAATTAATTTACACGTATTGGGTTTTTTTTTTAGCAAAGACATGTCGCAGAATGCATTTTGGCTGAAATTTATGACGAAATTAGATTTTTAAATTTTTTTTACTGTACATTTATAGCAAAAAGTCCAAAATATAGTTTTTTTTTTTCTCAAAACTGTCAGCCTTTTTTTTTTTTATAGCGCAAAAAATAAAAAACGCACAGGCAATAAAATACCACCAAAAGAAAGCTCTATTTGTGTGAAAAAAAGGATGTAAATTTCATTTATGTACCGTATTGCATGACCGCACAATTGTCCATTAAACTAGCGCAGCGCTGTATAGAAAAAAAATGGCGTAAATTGCAGTATCTATACCATAGTTTGTAGACGCTATAACTGTCACACAAAGCAATCAATATACACTTATTGGGATTTTTTTTACCAAAAACATGTAGCAGAATACATTTTGGCCTAAATAAATATATAACTAACTTTGAGTTTACTATATATTTTTTATAGCTGAAAGTAAAAAATATAATTTTTCTTCAAAATTTTTGGTCTTTTTTTGTTTATAGCGTGAAAAATAAAAAGCGCACAGGTGATCAAATACCACCGAAAGAAACCTCTACTTGTGTGAAAAAAAATTTTCACACAAATTTTTCACGTAAATTTCGTTTGGGTGCAGCATTGCATGACCGCGCAATTATCAGTTGAATTAGTGCAGCGCCGAGTAGCAAAAAGAGGCCTGGTCATTAAGGGGGGTAAATCCTCAGGAGGGCAAGTGGTTAAGCAGTCAGCTAATTGACTGAAACCAAGCTTCAGACTCTTTGTTGTGATCTTTGAGGATCTTTGAGGATGACATCCTTCACGGTACAAGCAGCAAGAGAGATGGCTTGTTTTAAAACTGTTTTACCACTCTGTAAGATTATGGGGTCTATTTAAAAAAAAATTTGCACAGATATTCATCTAGCAAAGGTAAACACATTGTTTTTCACACAAATGATGCTGTGACTGTTGTGTGAATGGAACAAAATTAAGAATTCCTTGGTTCCATGTGCATGTTGCTGTTGGACAATTGGCACAAATTATAATGTTTCTTTTAATTTGAATATAGGCTCATCTGCAAACAGAAAACAAATGTTGTTAGGTAGAATCTCTTTAGTGGTAAGAGCTCAATCGAATGTTGATTAGTCCATTTTGTGGACTGTTTTGTAGTTGAATGTTCTTAGATTTTGCCCAGATTTACATGACAAAGAGGCCATTATTATTTTTGTCAGGTGGTCAGAGGTTCTTGAATTAGCGTAGGTTCAAAAACATAGTTACTAGCACATAAACCTAGTTGAATGTTCTTATATAATATAGAAGGGTGGGATTTACTTAAAGTGGTGCTCTCAGAATCTGGTGCAGCTGTGCATAGTAACCAATCAGCTTCTAACTTCAGCTTGTTCAATTACGCTTTGACAATAAAAGCTAGAAGCTGATTGGTTACTATGCACGGCTGCACCAGATTCTATGTTCACCAGTTTTAGTAAATCTCACCTATAGTGTATATGACTGCCGCTATTGTACAATACTTGAAATGTATCAAATCTGTTTGAGAAGGTTGTGTCTATTTGCAAATCCTATTAGAGCAGACTCTCTTCTAATTGAATGATTTTAGGATTTTTTTTTTCCGTAGATTTGAATGTTTTTAGAATATGTTGCATCTAGTACTGTTTACATTTGCCAGAAAATTACATACAATAACATGTATAATATTTATAGAAGAACTATGGCCTCCCATTAAAAAAATTGGATCTTCGCACCAAAAAAAAAAACTTTGCCCCATTGCATTCCTTCCTCCTTCAGAGTACAAAAGCTGGTGTGTATGTGTGTGTGTGTGTGTGTGTGTGTGTGTGTGTCCTTTCGACTTCACTCCCTTCCTCCATTCTCACCTAAATGAGAATGATGTGGACCCTTCTCCTGAAGCCTCCTAGGATTTGCATGTCACATATCTCAGGAGGCTTCAGCTTTCAAAAAAGGGCTGGAGAAGGGTGGACCTGTGGCTGGAGGGGCAGACCTGCTGTGCATCCTCTGGGGGCTGGCTGCCTGAACCAGGATAGACAGTCAGCTCCCCATTACATAACAGGGTTTCTCAGCCAGGGTTCCTCCAGAGGTTGCTAGGAGTTCCTTGCAATGAGTCATTTCTGCCTCTCTCTGATAAGTTCTCATTGACATAATTGATCTATTTAGCTATCTGTAATCCTTCCCAATGACCTCAAGTGTAAGGAGCATTCTTTCCACAGACCATCATACTAATGTATGTATGTATGGTGCTGTGGATGACCACATTTTGCAGTGGGGTATGGCTATCACCATTGTCACTTCTTGTAGCAAAGCCTGTAGCTTGTCATCCGGCACCTGTCCACACCTAGTCCTGCCCACTGCTTTTGGGATTGACAGCACTGTCTCTTTTACTTATACTCTCCTGCAGTGTCTGGGAGGGGGAGGATGTGAGACATCTAATGGAGATCTTTGGCTCCATTTGTGAAAGTAAAGAAAGTGTATTGTTTGCTTTATTAGGCCTGTGCATCATATAGTAACTGGATATGGAACTTGTTCAAACTGACATATAAATGCTTTCCGTTAGACAACACAAAAACAAACTGGATTCACCCAAAACAAAATTACATTCCTACTGTAAAAGATCAGAAAATAAAATTTCACACATATTAGAAGCATTAGCAAGGGTATTATTTGAGATTTTTCAGTGAATGCTGACATGTTTGCATAGGAAATATTTTATAAATAGATCCTTACGTAAAAACTTACTAAAGAGTGCTTTTTGTAAACCCAAGCTAACCCATCTTGTTTGCAAAACCACTCATGTTTGTGTCTGACCTGCAGACCACATAAGCACTCCATATATCAAAATATTTCCCCGTTTAATCTGTTTTCCTATTTGCCATTGAGCCTGTCAGTTCTATAACGGATGAGTATATAAAGCTACATGTCAGTTTAAGAAAATATTTTAAGTCCAAAGCCATAGGACATGCTGCAATGGCAAGACCTGAATAATAAAATGTGTGGTTGTTGCACCTTGCTGCATAATAGCTCTGCTTTCTGTATAATCACCTAAGTGTATTCGCATATCTAGATTTCAGACACCATTGCAGGTACAATGAAAGTCAATTCTGTTTTCAAGTAACTGAATTTTTACCAAGTGAGATCTTTTCTCCTGAGTCTGCAGGTAGCAGAAACACTAGCAAGGCGAGTGCAGATATTAAAACGCAGGGAATGAGGAGGTTCAGCCCATAGTAGAGAGTTCTACGTCTCATTGTAATAGTAAATGTCACATCTGGATAGGGCTCTTTACAGCAGTCATAAAAACTCTCACTCCGCTTCCCAGGGACTCCTACAGAGAAAATACATTTCATTGTCACACTCTTACTTTCTTACATTCGCTAATTATTAATCAGCATATAAAGATGTTACTGTATGCATAATGAGTATATAACTTCTAAAATACTATAAAAGTTTTTATTTGCCTGATGTCACATGCCTGCTGCAATGGTCTTAAAGAGGAACTAAACCCATCGATTTAACAGTCTCAAAAAATGATTACATTCAAAGCATGCTGGAAATGCTCACTATCACATTCGCTTGTGCTGTCAACCAAACTTGACTCATCAAATGTCTGGTGTCATAACTGATCACAAGTGCAGCACAATGGCAGTTGTAGATCAAACAGAGGCTAAAAAGGCTGAAAAGGATCAGAAGGTTTAGTTCCGCTTTAAAGTAGAATTCCAGTTTACACCTAACTAGCCTTAAAAATGTTGCCTCCCCATCTTTACACCCAAGCTGACTAACCTATGTAAGAGATGTATATACTTACCTATTTTCAGGCTGCTTTGGTCCAGTCAAGTGATCCCTTGTGTCAGCCAGCAGTGGCTACAAGGGAGAGGAGAAACAAAGGCTGGAGTGGAGAAGTCACCCATAGGCTCCAATGGCCTATCCGATGTCTGCTCTCCCTCCCCTCCAGCCGACGCTGGCTGACACAGGGGAGCAAGATCACATGACCATCCTGCTGGCTGAAAATAAGTCAGAATATGCATCTTTTTTACACAGGTTAGTCAGAATAGGTGTTAGGAGGGGGAGGGGACATTTTTAAAAATAGTTAGGTGTAAGCTGGAATTCTACTTTAACTGTTTGTAAAAGCAAACTGTCTATGATGGCAATTCTTCCCATTTTGGAGAAACATTCCCTTACTTTCTGCTGCCTCCCCAATACCAGGAAGAGAAGGGAAACCTCCACAATAGGACTGCAAAAAAAAAAAAAAAAAAAGTAGAGAAAAATAATTTGGCTTTAACACTTCCCTACTCTATGCAAAACCCCCAAAAATTGGGTTTGGATATACATACAGAGTAGAAACAAATTAATTTATTGTCCAATCTGTATTGAAGCAAGCCACAATCCTGAAGGCCAACTATCCCCTAAAGCAGTAGTAAACCGCAGGAAAGAAAAAAAAAAAGTCCCCTGTAAGGTAGTGTCATAATGTGCTAGTATGCATCATGCTGTCACTGCTGCAGAGGCTTCCATCTTCACCCTGTCTTCCTTCTGGGTTCGCAAGTTCCGGCCATCTGACAGGTCGGGCCGCGATGACGTCACTCCCTCGCTTGTGCGGGAGTTCCGGGACACGGCTCAGGTATGCCGTTCCTTCAGAGCACATGCTCCGACTTAAAAAAAGACAGAATATCTCCTAATTAGGAGATATTCATTTTTTACCTATTATATTAAAACTCAGGGAATGAGGAGGTTCAGCCCATAGTAGAGATTTTACCTGTAGGCAACATTGAAAAAAAAATGAGTTTACTACCACATTAAAACGGCTCTAAAGCCTAAAGTTTTTTTACCTTCATGCAGTCTATGCATGGAGGTAAAAAAAACGTTTGTATCCAGCTCCCCTGCAAAGCCCCCCTTATACTTACCTGAGCCAATCTCATTCCAGTGATGTGCATTAGAGCAGTGTCTCTCCTGTGTCTCTCCTCATTGGCTGAGACACAGCAGTGGGAGCTATTGGCTCTCACTGCTGTCAATCACAGCCAGTGAGGAGGGAGCAGAGGGGTGGAGCGGAGTCCCACTGTCTGTTTATAAGGATGTAGATAATAGGGCTGAGGAGTGAGCCCGCATGAGTGCCTCCATAGAAAGCAGATTTCTATGGTGGCACGCACTGAAGAGGAGGAGCCAGGATCGCTGGTGGGGGACCCTGGGAAGAGGAGGATCAGGGCTCATCTGTGCAAAACCATTGCACAGAGCAGGTAAGTATAATATGTTTGCTATTTGTTTTTTAATTACCTTTATAATCACTGTAAATATCACTCAGGTACATAATGGAAAACTATTAAAAATATGTCCCTTCCTCTCAAAATCAACATTCTGGTGTTGAAAGGCTGTTTTACACTAATGGGGCCTTGGAAATGGTGTGGGTGGGTTCGGTTTATGTGCAGTTTTGAAACATTGTGCACTATACCATCAATGTGTCCTGTTCAAATAATTATTTAATTAAGAACATTAGTGGATGAACTTGAGCATGGGAATCTAAAAGATTCCCACACTTTAGTTAATATCTCCATAAGATTCACTTACAATGGGTCTAGAGGCCTAGATTGACAAGTTTGATAGCTTTGGTTTCCCCAACTTAAATACTAGATGGCATTTTTCAAATAACAAAAAGAACACAAGACAGTTAGGCCTCGTTCCCACCATACGTGCAGAAAAACTGATGGAGATTGACATGCAGATTTCACTTGCAGAGACGTCAGTTTACATCACTTTTCATGCATGCTTCAATGAGTTTAATACATATTGCAGATTCCTGCAAATAATCTGTGCGTGATACTAGTGTTGTGGTGTGAACAGGGAACATAGAGAACAGTTGATTCTGTTGTGCTCTTACAGAACACATGCAGAAAAACTGACATTTCTACACCATGGTGTGAAGGAGGCCTTAAAGTGGCACTAAACTCACCAATTTATTTATTTAACAAAACAGTTAAAAACAAGGCATGCCTTGAATGATAGCTGTCACTGTTGCTAATGTACTTATGTTAGCTCTCAGCTGAACTATCAAGCCATCAAACAGCTGGTGTCATAATTGATCACATGTGCAACACCATGTCAACTGCAGATCAAGCAAAGGATGAAGCTGGTTATACACTAGTAGAATCGTGTTCACAAATTTTCTTTTAAGACAGTTCATTTGATTTTTATATTAGTTAATGGGGACAAAACAATATTTGTTTTTGATGGCAGTGACAAGAAAACTCCAAGGAGCAAGACAGAAAATGTTATTGAACAAATTTCTCTAACAGTGAATGTGGTTTTCATTGAGTAAAGTGCATTCACTCTAAAATCAAATATTAAAAAGCAAACTCTTTTTGTAGTACTTTCAAGCGACATTCAACAAATCATTCATTGTACCGGATAATTTTTGTAGAAATGTTCAAACATTTTCTTTTAAATCTGCTAGTGTATGGTCAGCTTAAGATGGCAGTAAAAGACAGAGGAGTTTATTTTCAATTAAAGGTTAAATATGATCTTGGGTTATTCTTTGAACTCTTTTCTTCAAAAGGTAATGGGGGGTTCGTACTTAGGTGTCCGTTTATGACACAGAGAATAGCTGCGATTCAGAGGATCGCAACTATTCTCTGGTCATTCACAGTTTATGACACTCAGGAGATCAGCGGAGAACATGTTCAGTCCTTCATTTGAGATCTGTGTTCTCCCTCCAGATTCTCCAGCCCAGAGCTGGAGAATCGGAGGAACCGCAAACTATGCAACGATAATTTACCTCTGTTTAGTAAACTGATCTTTTACTGTAATCTCACGAGATTATAGTAAAATCAGTCGTTTTCCAGTGTTTGTAGACCGTTCTCCAACGTTTGTAGACCGTTCTCCCTTCGTTTGGAGAACTGATCTACACTGCTTCATAAACTGCATTCACAGGAGAACTGTGTTCTCCGAGAATGCCGGAGAACTGAGCAGCGATCTATTACCGCTGGTTCATAAATGGACACCTAACTTCTTAACCATTTTTGCATTGTTGCAGTGAGGGATTCCACTAACCAGTTCATCAGTACAAGGGGCTGCAACTTAACTGCATGACAGAATGAAAGAAGGTCCAAATAACACCTCCTAAGCAGCTTGGAAAAGTTTGGTGCCTAGAAGCACCAGGCTGGTATTTTCATAGAAGGGGTCCCACTGAAAGTCTGTTGACACAGGCAAAATAAGTCTTCACCTTGCTGGGGAACTCTTTTGAATATTGAACTATTAGATTAGACTATTGGATACTTTTTCAAGTTTCTGATCTATAATTATTTCATCATTGCCTATTGATTGGCTAGGAGTTAGGGTAATGGGCAATTGGCCTTTCATCTTTCAATACCCATATCACCAGGCAATAATCTTTTTTCATAGTTGTCTATTTCTACAAAGAAATATACATCACTGAATGAGTTTCATTATTATGCATAACTGATGTTGTATCACTGCATTGTCTTGCATCATATGCCTATTGATTGGCTAGGAGTTGGGGTAATGGGCATTCCATTTTCCAATACCCATATCATTGGGTAATAATCTTTTCTCAGAGTTGTCTATGAATAACAAAGAAATATACTTCATTGAATGTGTTTCATTATTATGCATAACTGATGTTGCATCACTGCCTTGTCTTTCAGTAAACTGGTGTCTAGGGCGTCTGCATTTATTTAAAGAACAATCACCTAGGAAGCAGCAGCGTAGTGGAGTTAACAATTAACCATTATAAGAATTTTAACTGTAACAAACTATACTGTAACAACAAAAAATTCACATGAAATAAATAATCTGCTTGTTTATTTTTTAAACAGCATATGCAATTTTTCAGCATGTTCAATAAAACAAAGAGCAATGTGCTGTGAACTAATGGACCCATTCAGAATGAATCATTCAAAATGTAGTCTTCAGTGATTTGCCATCTGATTAGTTGCTATACGTTGCTGTATTTTAATCTTTTTCTCTCTTTCTGCTGGCTAATTACAAGAAAGACCATTATCCAGTTCACTCTTCCATGTCAATTATTTTCTAAATAAATTTAAAACATCGGATTGAGGCTTGGTTATTTCCTCAGTGTCGTAGCAGAGCAGTTTTGTCATGAAAAGCCCTTGTAATAATGTTTCTGTAGAGCGCACACACCTAATTGTAGTTGGACACAACTACAATTTTTGCTAGAGTGGTATCTTAGACATGTGCATTGATTTACAGATTGGCAGGAGTGCTTCTGCATGGACAGGCCAAGCAGTGAGAAAATCAACTAAGGTCTGTAATTTTATTTAGGTGTAGGTACTGTAAATATCTCCTAAACGTGCACCATTTAGAAGATATTTACTTTAGCAGCTCTGGTGATGTCACCGACACATGTGCAGTGCACTCTCGATGGACAGTGTGCAGTCCATTAAGAGAGCCATGCCGCGGCCGAAACTCCAATATGCATGCGTGGGATTGATGTCACAGCAGCTTGGCCATTCAAATGGAAGGAAGACCAAGTGAATGTGGAGGCCCCCAGAAACCCTGACAGCGCTCCGCTGGAGGGCTTATAGCACATAATGCTAGAAGCCGTCCAGTGTACTAGCACATAATACTCTTACTAGCAAGAAGAAGATTTTTTTAGAATTTGTTTTTGTGGTTTACTACCACTTTAAGCCCATAAAACTTTGGTCATGAGGAGATGGCACAATAATGATAATATAAACGGCTGGGCAGCTGATATTTTTACCTTTGTAGTGCAACCAATAAAGTAAGAATAATACCTATCTGTGATGTCCAAAGGTTCCGATGATCTCTTTCCAGTGCAAGTTTGAACATTAAAGGTTAAATCTGATTGGTTGCTCTGGATGAAACAAGCAGATCTCTTTAGAAAATTGTATAAAATAGCCTAAGCGAATTATGTCTTCTAGCCGCGCTGCCTGTATGTCACACAAACTTAACTAGAAGGTCCACTTGAGCTAAATGTAATGTTGAATTTTGACATTTTTCCCTCAAACATTGGTGTCCTGACACTACATGGCTTGTAAAATGTATAAACAACACAAGCAAATTTGATATATACTTTTGCGGTATAGTGGTATAATGTCCAAGTCAAACATTATCATACAGTATATCCCCTAAGGAACTATAGCTCCTTAGTTAACAAATTCCAATATTTGACAAAGCCCCTGAAAATATTGTAAATATTGCTAAGGAACATTAAATTTGGACAAGATTTTGTCTTTCTATTATCAAAGCATTTAGTGCTTTCCTTTAACCTTTTTGTCTATGTATAAAGCTACCGGTATGTTTGTCCCCTGCATGTTTAAATTTACCTACTGATCCCTGAACCACTACCTCTACTGGGAGTTTACTCCAAGCATCAACTACTCTTTTGGTTAAAAAAATACTTTCTGAGATTAGTTTTGAACTTTTCTCCTGATAGTTTGAGGTCAAGTCCCCATGTTCTTGATCTTAGCTTCATATTGAAAATACTGCCCTTCTGAACCTTATTCACGCTCTTATTGTATTTAATGGTTTTAATCATGTCTACCATTTCTCTTCTTTCCTTAAAACTGTACATATTAAGGAAAGAAGGGAACCAGTTTGGAAATATGTATTTCTGATACTATAGCCTGTCTGAAACTATAGATGCAATATGTACTTAGCATCACACTCTTATTTTTTTTTTTTTAAATCAAAATGTGTGTTCTCAGTGCCATAATGCTAGGGTTGACTGTACCTGTAGTTGAGGTCAGAATTCAAAACCTACCTACTAGGTCCCATTCTCCATTTGAGATATATTCAGATATATCTGCTTCTTTCATTTGTAGATCCAATGACCATCCTCCATAGGTCCAAGAGCCAAACTTTAATTTGCATTTCTGAATATCAAAAGGAAACCAACGAACATCTATATAGCATGAGCTCTTGAAGATCCCTAAAAAATACAAGGGTCATTGGCCATCTACTCCTAAGCTTAATTTATGCAGCAAATACCAAAAACTGCAAATATTCAATTATATTAACAATGTAAAATGAAGAAAAATATCCTCTTTAGTTATTTGTTTTCACCAATGTATTCTACAGCAGTTTTTTTTTTAACAAGGCATTCACCTACCTATTTTGCATTATAACTCATTGTAATGAATATGGTTTCAGACGTGGCAGTAGTTGCAAGGAATATAACATTTTCTGTGCTGTTCAGTATAAGGAAATTATACAGGAGCAGTACAGAACACCCAATACTGTGAAATAGGAAGAAAGGGAGAATAACTCCTTTGCCTACAAATACCAGTTTAAAATATAAAGGTATTCAATGCTTTACAAGCTGAATAAAGTGCTTATTTATATCTTCTTTATGATCTAATATGTGATAATGGGTACACTGTGTATGTATACCTATATGCCATCATGGAAGAAATATAAAATACTTTATAAAATGCTAAAATGTGTTCAAATAATATCAATATCAAAATAATACCAATTTTAATTCTGAAGTCCAAAATATTTTGTGTAGTTTGGATACTGGTTATATGTTCATGTTTATATAAAACAAAATCAGTCATTGACCTCTGCCTTACTGTTTTAGGATATATAGTTGTGGTTTTGTTAGCGGCAAGGAAGAAATAAAAAACACAGTTATGTAAGTGACCGGAAGCAAGCATACTGTGCAGGGCCGTGGATAACGGGGTACCACCAGTCCTCCTGTATGGGACCCAGGCCAGCAAGGGGATCCAGACAGCTGGGTGAATCAGATGTGGGCAGGGAGGGTGATTGGCATGGCAAGGGGTGGGCAATTACTGGAACCTATCCCCTGTATGGCTCCTTCTGCAGCAGTTGAAAACTGGCTTCTTCAACTCTCCCTCCTGCTGGCTTTCAACTGGGGATTATTTTCAGTAACTGCCCCACCCGGTGCACTCATCATTCTCCCTGTGCACCATATGTTTCCTCCTGCTGCACAAGCCCCCCTTTGTGCCCCCTCCCCTGCATCACTGCCAGCTTCCCTACTCTTCTTCTCACTGGCAGCTGCAAACACACAATAGGATCCTTCATGATGGAGAGTGGAGAAAGGGTCCTGTAAATATGTCACATTTACCAGCTCTTCCTTTCCTGAATGAACACAATGTCTGATCGGTACTGATCACTCACTGTATTCATTCATAACTGAAGCCTAGTAAAATGTTTTTTTTGTGCAACAGCAGCAGAGACCTATATCATCGTAAAACTATCCCCACATCTTGCGCTCAAAATCTACAAAGCTTAATGAAAGCTTAAGCTATGACAGTCAAACGCAATCCTAACAAGCTCCTTTGATAGCAGAACTTTACCCATACATCTTGATACAAAATAATGTTCTTAAGCAAGGAACATACATTCCACATTATGTTACCAAATTTAGAGTATGCTGTAAATTGCCTCAAGCATTGTTCCAGTTTCTTCTTGCCTGAGACTGCCATTTTGTTGAAGCCCAGAGCCTAGAGTCTGGAGCAGCATTAAATCTCTTGAGGGTGGCTACCTGCAGATACTGCCTCTTTGCCTTGAATGGGCAAAGTGCGATGTCACTTTAAGCCAAACAGTCGCAATCAAAGAACAATTTCCAAATACTTTCCTACGGTCTATTATAGTGACAAAAAGCAGAGATCAATGTCCATCTGACCAAATGGTGTAGTAATGTAGATAGATCCACTCACCTTGATGCAGTGCTCCAGTTTCAAATAGCACAATGAACTGGAACTACACATGCAAATTTGACATGCTTTGTCAAATCCTGGTGAAATGTGTATCCGCTGTATTTCTATGCAGTGTAATAAAAGCAAGAAATTATGGAATGGGGACGCACTGTTCTTTACAAGGGAATGAGGAAAGTTAAGGATTTCTCTACGTACAAGTGGTTTGAAATTGATAAAATGTTATATTGTAAATCTGCAACAAAGCAGTTTTATGAGCTAATCATACAACATAAACTTGAGTTTAAGGTAACAAAAGAAACATGAAAAAGTGAGCAATTCAGTCGAAATTGGCATCTTACCTGGTGGTAAATACTGACAATGACCAGATGAGTTCACCAGTACATTAGTGTGAAAAGAAGCATCAAATCTTTCATCTGCGCTACAAAATATAACATAGAATGAGAACATGGCAGCCAGTGATTATAAATCATTACATTTTGAACAAGAAGTGTTGTTGAAAGTCTAAGGCTTGTTAAATGTAGGGCTGAGAAACATCATTCGTTATCCATAATCACCTGTCATTTTCCATGTATTACCTATAGATTTCCTTTCTTTCTTGTCATTTTCAATGATGGGTGTTGTTAAGAGAACTACAATTTAGATAGATTAAAGTATTTGTCACTTACAGTGACGCAAGGTGCTTAAGTAAAGCAAATAATTGAACTGCCTTTCACTTTTGACCTCAAGAAATCTAACACACAGATTACATAAAATAAATGTTAGAATGTTCATAGTTTGGATGTTCTTGTTTAAAAGAAAAACTCCACTAACCCACAGTGAATTACCAGGTTGCATTTATAGGCTGTTTCCTACTGGGACACATGTCAAATCAATTTCCTTTCTTTCCTCCCATAGTTTGATAATAAAACAACAATGGCCCTAGGATGCCATTGACTATTAAAGTGAACCTGTTGCCAAGATATAGACATATAATTATTTACATATTCTTAAAAAGTCATAAATGAATTTTAATACAAACCTTTACGAATATCTGAAGCTGCAGGCACCATTCAGCAATTCATCCTCAAAGTTCACAGCAGAAGCACTAAATTTGTTCAAGTCCTTCTCTTACATAGCTCAGCTAATCCTGCTCTGAATAGAGGTATAGACTCAGAGAGAGAGATATCATATTACCCCTGTACAAATCATTAGTAATACCTCATCTGGAATATGCAGTTCAATATGGGCGCTAATTCACAAAAAGGACATTGGGGAACTGGAGAAAGTACAGAGAAGGGCAATCAAACTGATAAGAGGCATGGAGGAGCTCAGCTATGAGGAAAGATTAGAGGAACTGAATGTATTCTCTCTTGAGAAGAGGAGTTAAGGGGGATATGATCAACATGTATAAATACATCAGTGGTTCATATAGTGAACTCAGTGTAGAGTTATTCACCCTGAGGTCATCACAGAGGACAAGGGGGCACTCATTACATCTGGAGGAAAAGAAATGTAATCTCCAAACATGGAAAGGTGTCTTTACGGTGAGAGCTGTTAAAATGTGGAATAGACTCCCTCAAGAATTGGTTCTGGCCAGCTCAGTGGATTGCTTTAAAAAAGGCCTGGATTCTGATTGCCTCTCGGGGTATCAGGAAGGCATTTTTTCCCTTGCAGGGCAAATTGGTTCATGCTTTGCTGGGTTTTTTTGCCTTCCTCTGGATCAACTGTGGGTATAGGAATATAACTTTTTTTTTTGGTTGAACTGGATGGACTTAAATGAGCATAGTCTGGACATAAGTTCACTTTAAAGCCCAAATCTAGGCTTATTTTCTTGTTTTTTTTTAAAAAAAAAAAAGTCTACTAGGTGCTATAAAAATTGCAGTTACAATGGTGATAGTCAACTTTACCCCAGAACTGCCAGTCCTCTAGATTGAATGATGCCCAGCATTAATCAGTCAAAATGACTGAACACATACCGTGCATGCAAGGTGCTATAGCCACACCTCTTGAGGTGGCATTACCAAAGTCCCCTTAATTTATAGTGTACTGGTGCAATGCTGACGTCAATATGTCAGCGCTGTTCTCTGCACCAGTAAGAGCTATCCATAGAGGCAACAACTAAGAGGACGATGCAGTTTCATGTGACTCGCCTAAAGATTTTGGAAGAGGCATGTGTTAACTTAAGAATAAAAATACTGCCAGTGGGGGCCACAAAGTTGGAAGAGGGATCAATTAGAAGGGGTGGGTCATTGGGAAAAGACCCCTAAGTTGGTCTTTAGACACAAAAGAACTTCTGCATATCATGTCTATTGTGGGGTCTCTGATAGCCTAAATTAAGGACTATGGAAGTCACTGCTGACAGATGTATAATGTGCAGAGGCTAACAGGTCTCCAACCATGGGACAGCAGGGCTGTCAGATCTAGCCTCAGACATTGTAGTACTGCATAGTTCTTTTTAGATCTGGAATATTTTGAAAGTCCTTTTTTGATAATGTAGAAAAGATGATCTAGTGCAGGCATCTCCAAAATACATCCTCAGGCCACATCTGACCCACAGTTAGGGTCAGTCAGGAATATTGGGAAAGACATGCATGAGAACCACATCTTCTATATGTCTTCTGTATGTTTACTGTTTCACTTACTTTTTTTGACTGTGTCTAGTGAATTCTAATGTGCACAGCTGGAGGGAGAGAGAACCCCCTTCTCCTCCACTCATGCACACTTCTGTACTTGGCTGTGGCAGCTGTGCTCTCTACCCCTCCTCCCTTCTTCCAGTGCAGCTCCTGTATCCCCATGATAACTGCTGCTGGCTTCTGAATACAGGAGTTGTATTGGAAGGAGGGGGAGAGAGAGCACAGCCTCACAGCTCTACTGTTCTCCTTGCTGCTGGCAGTGCTTGGCTGACAGTAGTGATGCCACTGTCTTTACTCCTGTCAGCCATATAGTCAGAGTGGTGGCGCCCCCCCATCCCTGCAGTATACTGTACATCTGCGGCCAGGGCAGCCACCCGTTCTGCCCACCCCTTGTCCCGGCCTTGGGGTCAGTGGAATGTAACATGCAAATATTGAGTTTAACATCAGCAGAGGTTGCCTATGGTCTCTGCTTCAATATCCCCTGCCCATGTAACAGGGAACTCCAATCAGGACTCTAATGTAAGGGGTATTCTGATATAAGGGAGGCTCTGATTAAGACCTTGATGTAAAGGGCAACTTTGATGGGAACTATGTTGCAATAGGGGACATTAATGGGGATCATGATGTAAGGGGGGACCCTGATGTAAGGAGGACTCTGATGGGGACAGTGATGGAAGGTGGGGAATCTGATGGGGATTGTTTTCTGCCCACACATTTTTATTAAATGGACAGTGTGGACCTCCTGCTGAAAAGTTTGGAGACCCCTGATCTAGCTCATAGTACTTTATTGTAATACATTTAAAAATAAATCTTTCTGCAGTCCAAATCCATTTGTACTCTGCTGCAGCTAATAAGCTCATCTTTGTTTATCAATATGTCTTGACAAACACCATGTGGAACTTAATTGAATCTGTTGTTACATTAAGACTGTATGTCATAATATGTACTGGTACAAAGTAAGTTTTCCTGAGGCTTTCTGTAGATGTGACTTGATAATGATAAATTAAATTTATTTTGAACAGGATATCAAGCAGAAGAGAACTGGACAGACACTATCAAGGAAATATAACATACACTAGTTAGAACATTATCTTGAAAGCTTTAAATGAATAGGTCAAAGCTGTGCCAACCCTGGAGGGCATTATCATGCTGCTGATAATGGTACAAAAACCAAGTCTTGAAAGGCTAATTGAATATAGTAATTATCTTGATTCAAAATTAGTCCATTACTTGTAAGAAGGGAGGAATTAAGCAGAAGATTGGACATTGGCCTACACTGAAAATATCTACGATATGTTCTTACTAATTATTCGTTAGTAGCAGGTTGGATGTGGGCCTAGGCTGGAGGAGATATTGCAGTGTTCCATCAGAAATAAATCTGAACGCTGGTGCTCTTATTAGATTCTCCAATTACTTTTAGATCTGTAATTTAGATATGTTGCAGGGGCAGAATTAAATTGAAAATATAGAGAATTCATGAGGCAGGTTTATTTTCACATAATGGCTAGTAAAACATATGGGCACATTTTACTGTGTGCAAAAAGCACGCATTCACTGCCAAACTGCATTAATACAGAACTGGAGAGATGTTCTTTTTGGAGCTCTGATATTATCAGTGATGTAGATCTTTCTCAAGAGACTATGGCTCCCATTTATTAATCTAGTAAATTGAACACCATAGCCATTATAGCACATCAAGCGTTTTGCTTTTTTTTTTTCTTTCTTAACAACAGTTACTGGGAAACAATATCAATTACTTTTGAAGTGATAGTCCACCCAAAGCTGAAACTAGAACAAACTGACCTTTTAAAGCCCACTTGATGTCTTATATGTTTTTAGCATTATACTTATGGATGTTATTTTTGACTGGTGTTTTCATGGAAATAACCTATAATACTCCTTTCCCTCAGTACAAATGTGCTGCTTCTCGACTGCTTTCTACTGACATAGCTGAGAAAGGCCAGATTCCCGCACCCATAACTACCCACAGCCAAAACGCGCTGCTCTGTAGAGACATACAGGACTACCATTCATTTTATAATGGCACCCCGACTCATCTAAACCTGCAGCACGTTTACAGGTGCAGGAACTGTAGGGAAATCACATGGTGCAAAAGCCCCATGTGATTTCCCTTTGGCTGCATTTTGAAAATGCTGTAGGCACCTTTTTTTGGCTGAAAACACAGACACAGCAACCTGTTCATATAAATAGGCTGATGTGCACACATAAACGCGGGCTATAGACCCACAACAGTGTGAACCTAGCCTAACAGCCACAACCCTCAGCACACGTGTTCTCATACAGACTTGTGTTACAAAGGAAGATTGCCGCATAGGAGGTGGTATATCAGACCATCTCTGTTACTGTATGCTGATTACAGAATGTACTAGATCTAACTATGAAGACTATTCAACTTAGGCATCCTGCACAAATTCTGTAATATAAAAGTTGAAGCAAGACTTTGGAAATAAAGGTATATAGTACAGTGTTTATCTGACTGGACATTTATTTCTGTGACTTCTGCTGTCTTGTATATTTGCATAAGAGATAATATTTAATTTACAATAAAATAATAAATGCAGGCAAAAAAGTACAATTTACAGTACTGTTGTTTTTATATATATATATATATATATATATATATATATATATATATATACTGAACGGAAAGTCAAGTAGAGGTATTCTGCTAGCACACATTATAAACCTTCCTACTTGTACCATGTATTTTTTACTTGCATAAGATTGGCATTGATCGTGTAGTTTCATGGTGTCATTTACTGGCTTGTATGCACAGTCCATAGTAGAGTAAATATTTACATTCCAGTCTTAGAA